CTGTGCTCCACAGAGTTTTCAGTGGCTGATTTTTTTAAAGTAGATCACCAGGACTTTCTTCCAGTATACCTCAGGGTAGACTCAAACCTCCTACCTTTTGGTTAGCAGCCAAGCACATTAGCAGCTTACACCAGCCAGAGACTCCATAAACACATATAGAAGCAAATAATTCTCCGACCCTTGCTCTTCTCTCATTTCACAACAGGTTTCCTTACTCTGACCAAATCAGCTGACATCCGTTGGGTTAACTGGCTAAACACTGAAGTGGTACAATTTCTAGCATGCTATCTGTGTGTGCCATGTGGTGCAATTATAGATGATAGATAGCAAGCTTTATTTACCTACTTAAAGTATTTGTATTTCCTTGAATGGCCAGATTGTCCCTGAACGTTTGTTAAGATGCCTCTATGCGATGAGAAGACTGCTGGGGTAGCAGTTACAGTTCCTTGCTCTAGGCGCTACCTTTTGATGGGACTGTAGCTTTAGTTAGCTGTTTCCCCATGACTCTGGGTGGGTGAGATGTTGTATGGCTTGTCTTGGTAGAAAATTTCTTCACCATAATTAGGTAGTTGTAAGTTGAGTTCTTAGTCTTTCCACATCTAGTTTTGTTTGCATTGACTCTCAAAAAAATGAGCAGTTGGACCTTACCTTCTCCTGTTTGAAGAATTCTCCAGAATTAATTCATGTTGGAGCTTTATTTCTGTTATATCCACTGAACATAAGCAGGATCTGATGAGGGGATCCAGTTAAGAGGATCCACAACATGTTGGGTTATATCATTCTTTCATTATATAGTCTTTGAGCACCTTCTATGTGGTAGACCTCTTCTAGGTGCTCTGAAGACAGCTGTGAACCAAACAAGTGAGCCTCCTACCCTCAGCAAGCTTATACTCTGTGTAAGACAGACAATATGTTGGTGAACAGTAAACACTACAGTGTAATACCAGAGACCACCTGCTATGAAGAGAAACAATAAATATAGTGGTCACTTAGAAACATATATAGAAGTGAATAATCCTCTGGTCCTTGCCCTTCTCTCATTTCAAAGGAGGCTTCCTTACTCTGACAATATCAATTGACATCTGTTGGGGTGACCAGTAGATGGATATGTAAGAATAAGCAACAGACTATATCAGGAGCTACTTTAGATAGATGTCACTGAGGAGGGCATATTAGTGGAGAGACCAAAGGATGACAGGGACTTAACCACAGGAAGAGCCAGGAAAAGCAAAGAAGACTGGGAAATGGCTGTGGAGTGTGTGCCACAGTCCTGTTCAACAGTCATCTTGTGCATCAGTTTTATAGGGATAAAACACTATTTTAGTTTATATTTAAAAGTTATTAGGGTGATAATTGAATTACTGTGTCTTTTCCCCTCCAGGCTGCCAATTCTGTGGGAGCAGGGTCTAGACTCATTTTTGTTCCCATCGTATCTTATGGGATGGTCACAGGGCCCAATTCCTGACAAAAAAAACCAACTCACTGCCATCAAGTCAGTTCTGACTCATAGCAACCCCTTTTGGGTTTCTAAGGTGGTAAATCTGTACAGAAGTAGGTTGCACCATCTTCCTTCCACAGAGCAGCTGGTGGGTTTGAACTACCAACCTTCTGGTTAGCATTTGAATACCTTAGGTACAGCACCACCAGAGCTCTTTTATTTATTTATTTTAATTCATGACAGGTACACAGTAAATAGTGGGTGGATGGATGCATGAATGGATAGAAAGAAGGAAGCAATAGTAGGAAACCTAAAAGAAATTAAAAGGCAGTAAAGAGAGATGGCAAGGGTCCTAGGTGGCACATATGGTTTATGCTCAGCTACTAACTGAAGGGTGGGCAGTACAGACCCAACTAGTGGCACCACAGAATCTGTAAAGATTTAAAAAGAAAACAGGAATTCATTGCTGTTGAATCAATTCTGACTCATGGCGGTCCCCGTATGTCACAACATAGAGCTGCTCCTTAGAGTTTTCTTGGCTATAATTGTTAACAGAAGCAGATTGCCAGGCCTTTCTTCTACAGCACTACAAGATGGGTTCAAACCATCAACCTTTAGGTACCTTTAGGTTAGCAGCTGATAGCAAACGATGGAGCTCAGCTGTACTCTAATACTGAGGTCACCATGAGTCAGAATCAACCTGATGGCAACAGGTTTTTGGTTTGGCTTTAAAAGGTGATAGAGGATAGTAAAGGCATGGACAGTTCAAAGAGTGGGCATCTTGGAGGACTTGGTGACACGAAATGATGAGACTAAGCAGTAGGGAGTTGATGACTTGGGCACTAGTATTTGGGAGCAGTTGGAGGGATAGAGCCAGGAAGCACAAGTAGAAATGTTATATATATTTTGTATGTTGTATGTGAGAAGATGGCTAGAGGCTAAAGGATGATAGGCAGAGAAGAAAGAGTGCAGCTGAGAAGTGCTTTGTTGGCAAACAGGACAGACAAGCATCTATATATGGGGTAGTAGCTAAAAGGGACCATGATGGGCTAGGGGCTGCTGAATCAGACAGTGAGGGCATCTGTAAGGGAGAGTTGGAGTTAGGGACCTTCAAAAAACTGCTAAGATTTTTTTACTATCTCAGATTGTAAGCCTGGGTTACTGCTGTAAGGGGGAGGATATAAAATTGGCAGAAATATTCCATTGGGAGAAGCAGATACATTGTTTGGAGCTTTGTTTTACTCCTCTGGAAATGACCGTATTGTATTTTTATGTAAATAATTCACAACAGTGTGGTGTTTGCAAAGGGGTGAAAGCGAATACTCATAAATGAAGTTGAGATACCATATTGTGTTTTTATATCAACAGTGTATACTATTGCTTGCAGTAGGTCCAAAAACAAATGTGTATCTAAGAGGCAAACTACCTGTTAATTTTGAGCTTCTCCATCTTACCACCCTTACCTGTCCTTCAAGACCTGATTGGAAAACTGTGTTTTCCATGACTTTGGGATCATTCCAGCCCAATGTCATCCTTGCCAGCCCTGAACATCTATCATATGATTGTCTGTATAGCTTATGTAGCACTTTTTAAAAATATTTTTGTTGTGGTAAAATATGTATATAAAATAAAAACATTTCCCCCTTCAACCATTTATATATATATAATTCAGTGAAGCCCTTTCACTTGCACATTTTACTCTTACTTAGGGACATGGTCCACTACCTGTCAGTTTGGCCTACTGTTCTGGCTTGTGTTTTGCTATGATGCTGGAAGCTATGTCAATGGTATTTCAAATACCAGCAGCATCACCTGTGGTAGATGATTGTAGCAGAGCTTCCAGAGTGAAACAAGGGAGAAAGGCCTGGTAATCTACTTCCAAGGTTTAGCCAATGGAAACTTTATGTATTACAACAGAATGCTGTATTTTTTGCAAATAACGTGCCCACACATCAAACAGTCCTGGCATAGCGTATTCATGCATATATACCACATGTTTCGTGGTATTTCTAGTGAATTTTGGTGTTATTTACCTGTCCTCCCATATCACAGGTAAATCATAACATTCTGTTCATTTTCTTTCCTTCTATTCGTTTTCTCTAATCTCCTGCTTATATGTATAAAAATAGTCTGAAAATGTTACTTTTTATCATAATTAGGTTTCAATTTAAGATTTCTGAAAGCAATAAAATATAAACAACATCTTGTTCTTTTAGTGTAAGACCTAGGACCATTTCTTACTTAGTAACTTGTAGTTCTTTGTGCATTCATACTCTTTGGTTTCAACATGGTGTCCCATTGCTCCATTCACAAGAATGATGATATTTTATCAGGAAATTACAAAATTAAATTTTATATATCACTTTTGCTCTTTATGTAAATTGTTTTGGCTTAAATTTCAAGAACTTTAAAATTAATACCTACCTTAAGTGAAGTTTTCATGTCATCAGAAATAGAAATTGAAGTCAGGAACATGTTTAAAAAAAATGGACATAGTCCACTTATGAAAATAATGCTCTGGTGTGTGGGGGGATGATTGTACAGTTGGCAAAAATCAGTAATGCACATGTTACTTGTGTGTGTGTGTGTGTGTGTATCATAAGGAGCTCTGGTGGCGTGTAGTGCCTAAGGCATTTGACTGCTAACTAGAAGGCTGGTGGTTCAAACCCACCAGCCATTCCATGGAAGGAAGATAGAAGGCTGGTGGTTCAAACCCACCAGCCATTCCATGGAAGGAAGACTGGGCAATCTACTTTTGTAAAGATTTAATGCCTTGGAAACGCACAGGGGGTCGCTGTGAGTTAGAATCGACTCAATGGCAGTGAGTTAGGGTTATACCAAAAATCATATATATGATATTCATACATATGATATATATTACTGTCCAACATAGTACTGGGAGACAAGCAGCCTAGGTTAGAGAGTACTCAAAATACACAGTGGCTGCACCAATGCACACAAGCAGACCAACAGTTATGAAGATGTCACAGAACTGGGCAAATGCTTCATTCTGTTGTATTGGGGTCTCCATGAGACAGATCTGACTTGGCAGCAACTAATAACAATGGACATGCATCCTAACCAGATAGTGAGCTTGATAGGGGCAGATAGCATGTCTTGCTCATCTTCCTGTCTTTCATATGGCTGTGTATAGAGGAAGAGCTCACTAATAGTCTTTAAACTAGTGACTAGTCCCATAATAATAATATTTCATTCCCATTGTTAATGAAGCTGAAGGTTTTTTGCGTGTGCGATCTTAGTTGACTAAAATCTGCCCACCACACCATAGCATACTTCAAACTTCTATGACAGCTCCAATTAAGAAATTCCATGGCAATTTATTTTAAAGGCTCCATGTAGAGAGCCTCTAGGCCTTAGAATCCAGAGAATAATATTATATGACTGAGTATTTAACCTTGGTCTAAATTGAGATGATTTCTGAGGTTTCTTGGCTAACACTGATATGTGTTAGGTTTCAATGTTTTCAAAGGCAGAAAGATTGGGGTGGTGGTAGTAACGAATCTGTCCTGGTGTTAAAAAAAATCTGGATTTTCTTTGGCAGCACTCCTTTTTCTGCCGGCTGACAGAAGATAAGAAGTCGGAGAAATTTTTCAAGGTTTTCTATGACCGAATGAAGGTTGCCCAACAAGAAATCAAGGCAACAGTGACAGTGAACACCAGTGACTTGGGAAATAAAAAGAAAGATGATGAGACAGACAAGGATGCCCCTTCACGTAAAAAAGGTAATGGTCACCTGTGTGCAGTGCCTGCTGTTATTCTGAGAATAGCAGAGGGGCACCTTGTGTTCCTTCCTTTGTTTCATTACTTCTGGATTCCAAAATGTGTTCTGAACTGGGGGTTTCAGAAGGAGAAAACCAGTCTGCTTACAATATAATTCTTAAGCAACCGAAGTTGAAATTCTACTGCTTTGAAGAATTTTCTTATTCAGTAAATTATTAAGCATTCTTTTTAACCTAACTTAAGGCTATAGTGGCAGGAAATGGATTATTAATATTATTTTCCTGTGATTACCATTTAATGGTAGAGGATATTGGGGACAATGTTCAGTTTAAAACTAGATGTCAGTCCTTTGTTGGCTAACTTTCCCTTGTTTTTCAAAGTATTCAAAAATTCATAAAACTTTTTATCCATTTTGTTCCATGGAAAAGAAGTAGTATTGGTGAGTGTAGCACAGTTTTGGAGTCAACTGCCTTAGGCAAGTTCATTAACATGCTCTGACCTTGATTTTTTAGGTTGAGAACTGGGTTTCTCAACTCCAGCACAACATTGGGATAATCCTTTGTCGTAGGGGCTGTCTTGTGCATTATAAGATGTTTGGCAACATTCCTACCCCCTCTCCACTAGGAGTGCTGATGTGCAATGGTTAAGCACTCAGCTGCTTACCAAGAGGTTGGCGGTTTGAACCTACCCCACCCACTGGCTCCATGGGAGAAAGATCTTGTGATCTGCTCCTGTAAAGATTTCACCCTGGAAAACACTATGAGGAAGTTCTACTTTGTCACATGGGGTCACTGTGAGTCCAAATTGACTTGACAGCACATAACAACAACCAGTAGTAGCACACTGTTTCCTCACCTTTTACCCTCAGTCATGAAAATCAAAACTGTCTCCAGGTATTATCAAATGTTCTCTGGGGGAACAGGGCAAAATCACCCCCACTTGAAAACCATCAGCCTAGCCAAATAAAAAACCTATTGCTGTCTAGTTGATTCCAACTCATAGGGACCCTATAGGACAGAGTAGAACCGGCCATAGGGTTTCCAAGGCTATAAATCTTTACTAGCGCAGACTGCCATATCTTTTTTCCACATAGCGACTGGTAAATTCAAACAATTGAACTTTCAGCCTAAAATAGATATAACAAGGAGAAAAAATGATTAATATTCACTAAGTACTTCCTATGAACCAGGCACTATTCAAAGTTCTTTTCATTATTAACTCAAATTAACCATGTAAAATAGATAAAAATTATAATCCTTGTTTTACAGATGAGGAAACCAAGTCACAGAGATGGCAATTAACTTGTCAAGCATGCGGCTCGTCACAGTGGCTCCAGGATTCTAACCCAGGCAGTCTGTACTCCAATTATAATGCCCTTGGGTTAAACTCAGAGGTTACCTCTCAGGGTAGTTGTGAGGATTAGATGAGATGATACAAATAAAGTACTTAATCACAGTATCTTATTACCTAGCAAGGTGCTCAGTTTCAATCATCATTGTAATATCAGTAATTACTATTGTGATTAGTGTTGTGTTGAACATCTCAGGAACATTTCCAGGAAGAATTACCAGTGCTTTCCCCATTTTACAGATGAGGAAGCTGGGGCCCAGAGCCATAGATGCATTAGGTTGATAGAACCTGTACTATGCCTTTTCCTCTAAAACTCAGTGTGTAAGCCTAGCACCTGGAGCAAGCTGGTGGGGCTTGACTCAGTTTTAATTCTATCTGAGGACGCCTTGGTGTGTTTTGCTAGCCTTGGGAATCTCTAGTGAATACAGGAGCTTACTGTCTCTGAACTGTACGTTTGGAGTGGTGAACTGTGTTCCTCAGGATTAAGCAGTATTCACTGTCTTATGTTTGTCTTCTAGCCAAAGAGCCCTCCACACAAATAACAGAGGAGGTCCGAGATCAGCTCCTGGAGGCCTCTGCTGCTACCAGGAAAGCCTTCACTACTTTCCGGAGAGAGGCTGACCCTGAAGACCACTACCAGTCAGGGGAGGGCACCCAGGCCAACACCGACAAGACTAAGGATGACCTGGAGATGAGTGCAGTCATCACCATCATGCAGCCCATCCTCCGCTTCCTGCAGCTCCTGTGTGAGAACCATAACCGAGACCTGCAGGTGAGAGCCTGGGAACAGAGTCAAGGCGTGAGGGCCTGGCTTCCACACAGTTGCTGCCACCCACTCTCACATTCAGCTCTTCTAATTTCAGCATGTTTCCTTGGATTCAGGATTCAGGATGGTTCTTTGACGTGAAAGTCTGGGTAGCTGATGTACTGCTATATCTGTCTTCCCCAGTGTCACCACAGGGACAGAGCCACCTCTCTTTGCTCACCAATGTAGTGCCAAGTCCACAGATAGATGGATAGATAGATGTTAAATGGTTGTGTTTATGTGTCTGTGTCGCATGAGAGTCCCTGGGTAGTACAAATGGTTAATATGCTCGGCTGCTAACTGAAAGGTTGGCAGTTCCAGAGGCACCTTGGAAGAAAGATCTGACCATCTACTTCTGAAAAATCTGCCATTAAAAACCCTACAGAGCAGTTCTATTCTGACCTGTTGGGTTGCCAGGGGTCAGAATCGACTCAGAAGGTCTAATGCACACAGGTCTGTAGAAGCTTTTCACTGCTCAAGAGAAGCGTGTGGAAGTACTGGCTCCTTGGCCTTTTTGTCTAGTTTTGCTGCTGACTCTTGAACCTGGGGAACTACCCCTCTCTGCCTGAATGGTGTGAGGATGAAAGCAAAGAATAAGACATAATAAAAATGTGTCTGAACAATTCCTCTGAGGAATTAAATACTTCCTTCTAAAATACACAAGTTGGCAGTGGTGGTTTTGTGTACTTGATTCATAGTATGGAAGTTTCGTGATATTGAATGGAAATAATCCTCGCCCAAACCTGACGAGAGGAGCGCAGCTTTTAAATTTTTGCATTGGTGAATTTCTCCACCGTGTGACTTGAGAGCCACCCCCTAATCCACTGCATTGTGTGCTGCCACAGTTAGCTGCTCTTAAAACCTGCCACAGACTATGAGTAGATTGGGTAAGCAAGAAATTATATTGAGAAGGTTGTCCAACAGTAAAACAGAACAATGAAGTGGATCCAGGTGAAATCTGCAATATTAATACCTTCTATGGCTGTTTTTATTTTTAATCAAATCGGTTTTAAGAGCCAGAACTTTAACATTTAGCTTTGAGATCATCCACTGGCCAAATCTGGCTCGTATTTCAAAGTGACACGATTTCACCGAAAACTCCAGTATTAGCCAAGCCGGACCATGGTGCTGCACAGTTGGTTATACAGCAGCATCTGCTTCCCCTCTAGAGGGAGCTGTGCTCTTTTTCCCTCTGCTGCTTAATCCCTGTTGACGTCTGACCTGGCAATTTAAAATTTGAAGGTTATATAAAGATTATCCAATTCCATGGTTTTCAGACTTTTTTTGGGCTTAGAACTTCATAGCCGTCATTCTGTGTGCCTGGGACTGCTTACCTCAGTCAGGCAGAGCAAAGCATACATAACCCAAAAGCTGAGGATTTGACTACTCTCATTGGCTGAGATTCTTCTTTCTAATGGCAAATAGTGTCCCTGATGTAGTAGTCTGTGTTTTGATCTTACATTGTCAACACCAATAAACATGAAGGAGATGTGCTGAGAGAGTGTGGATGACACCATAGAAAGCCAGACTATCCCACCTCCAGGAAAACAAAGCGTGCACAGCTCGGTTGTGGCATCTCTATGGCTTGGCACTACTTCTGGGCTTATTATGGTGATCAGTGTCATGTACTGTTGCCCTACACGATTGTTACTGGTCTTCACCAACTTTAGCCTCCAGATGGAAAGAAGGTAGAGCTGTTGCCTGTGTGTGTGTATGTTCATTTAAACAATATTGGTGAGTGCATGAGCTGTGCCTGGCACTGGTGGTGATGGAGACAGTATCCTGCCTTGTGAGAGATGAGAGTCTGGGCAGGGGACATTTGAGCAAACGAGAGATTACAGTACAGCATGATAAGAGCTAACATGGTGTGATTTCAGGGCTCTGTGAGTGCAGAAGAGGAGAACCTAGTGTGGGGTCCAGGAAAGCTTCTGAGAAGAGCTAATATCTTTACTGAGTTCTGAACTAACAAAACACTAAATGTCTTTGATTAGAATATCTCTGTCAGTGTCCTAAGGGCAGTACTAAGGTGCTTGTTTTAAAACAAGATTCTTGTTTCAAGACCAGGCTGTCTTCCATCTCTCCCTGACCTTCCCTTCTTCACCAACACATCTAACTTGCACCATGGGGGAAGAATAGGGCGTTAATTATACGTTTTCATCATTTCTTGTTTGGAAGTCTCCATTATTTAGTTTTTACCTGAACTCTTCACAAAACTCTCCTTAATACTAAAGTCCTAAGAACACCAGAGGCAGAAGCACCTTTTAATGAGGTCCTTCCGAAATTCAGTTCTCTGGTGGTTCCTCTATGGAAAACAATGCTAGAGTGAGTTTAAGTATATTTATAGACCTAGCAACTTAACGTTTGAGGATTTCATGAAGATTATTCTATTCACTGATTTTCAAACTTGCTTTTAGCCACAGAATTCTTTATTTGAACAATGTCTTATGCAGAAACGTACTAAATAAAGCAGATGAATGCTCTGTCAGAGTCGAGTCTAGAGAGTACTAGGAATATAGGCACCCCTGAGAGAAAGCCTTCTGGGAACTCCCAGGGCTCTGCAGGGCCCAATTGGAAAACCAATGATCTGGACCAATGGTTTGCAAGGATGGACGTTAGCATCATCTTTTTAAAAATCCTATTAAATTTCAACTCTCTGAGGGAGTGACCTGCTCCAGTGAAATTATATTTGTAGGCATTCAGTTCTTAAGATGATGTTTTTAAGTGGGAATAAAGTACCCTGACTTCTACTCTGTTGAGAGTGTTCCAGAGGGTTAATCATCAGGTCAGGGTTTCTTGTGGCTTCAAGAGAGAAGGCATTCTCTTAAGGAGAGAATTTTAGGTTCCTTGGTGTTAAGGAAGGGAATCTTTAGTGGCACAGGTGGTTAAGCACTGAACTACTAACTGAAAGATTAGCAGTTCACGCCCTCTCAGAGGCACCTCAGAGGAAAGGCCTGATGATCTGCTTCCAAAGGATTACAGTCATTGAAAATCCTACGAAGTGCAGTTCTACTCGGACACATGTGGGGTTGCCATCACTTGGAATCAACCAGACAGCCACGGTTTGGTTTTTGGTTGGTGTAGAGAAATGCAGGTAAACTTAGAGAGAGATGAGCTTCAGTCTCATAGCAGTGCTCTTTGGCTCTCGCCCAGAGTTTCTTGTCATATTTATAACCTTCACTTTCCTGTTGGTAAATGTTATTAGGATAGTCACCAGGTTGGGCTTTGCCAAATTGACAGTTGCTGCCTTAAGCAAGCCTTGTTTGCAGTAGTTAGAAACCTGATGGAAAAGACTGTTCTTTAACCATTTTATGTGTGCTTTTTCCACATTTACCTACCTGAGAAGATAGTTTTGCTTCTCCTCTGGTTAATGAATGTAGGTCCTAATCTCTCTCCACTGAAGTCTATAGTAGACTTGAAGTCCTCTATGGAAGGCCTCAATTTCTTAATCCACCCATCTCAACTCAGACTCTGGCCCTCCAAGAAAGACCACAAAATGAACAGGATTGTTCTTGCCTAGCCTAGACAAGGGGGTGGTGTGTGCTAAAGGTAATTCTTTCCTCTGAATGTATAAAGAGTGATTGTCTTTCAGTGAGCGACGTGCTTCTTTTTTGTAGAAGGATGAGAGGAAATGGATTTGAGTTAGAGAAGGGAAGATTCTGGGTAAACACATGTGAAACCATAAGATATAGGAGAGGCTTTCAAGAAAAGGCAACAAACTATCCTTCATGGGCAGTTTGAAGCATGTGCTCCTAGCTAACCTCCATGACTTGCCAAGTTCCCTTCTTTCTATCCATCCTATTTGATTTGGATCATTTCAGCCAGTGTTTACAAAGTACCTAATATTACCTATACTAACTGCTGGACAATCCTACTTCCGTAGTGATACTGCCTCGGAAACCCAAGGAGGGGTCGCTATGAGTCGGGGCCGACTCGACGGCACATAACAACAACAACAACAACAACAACTGCTGGGCACACAGTGGTGTGAGCAGTCCTCAGGTCTTAGTGCTCTGATCTCATGGAGTGGGGGTGGGGAAGACCCAGGAGGGCTTCCTGAAAGAAGCAGCTTTAACCACATCCTGAGGAAGAGAAGTTATTCAGGGTAGAGGTGGGAGAGAGAGAGAGACAGGCAAAGGGAATAGTGTGCCTGAATCCCAGGAGGCAAAAGAATGCCAAGAATTTCATCCTGCCAGAGCACAGAGGGGCATAGCAGGTGTGAAGGAGTTTGGGAGGCAGATGGGCCTTGACAGCTATGCTGTGAATCTCAGCCTTGGGCAACCGACTCCTCTCCATCCCTGCCCTCTTCCTGAAAGCTTCTCCAACACCCCCACATAGTGTGGGGAGCTCAGCCAGGTGCTAACCCCGGGAACATCTTCCTTCAGGGATTGGAACAAGATAGAAATGGCTGTGAAACTCTTCTATGCCTTTCTGTAGCCCTTAGAAAAACATCCAATCCTGTTATGAAAGCTTGGTGTTGGCTGTCATCTGGTCATGTTGACCTTACTACCACAGAATGAAACGTTGCTTGGCCCTACGTCATCCCCAAGATTGCCGGCATTCTGTGTTTACTGTGCCACTCCATCTCACCGAGGGTCTCTCTTGCCCTTGCTGGCCCTCTCCCCGACCATACATGATGTCTTCCTCCAGTGATTGATCCTTCCTAACAACATGTCCAGAGCAAGCAGGTCAGACAGAGTTCTGCTGTGATCCATAAGGTATTCACTAGCTAATTTTCAGAAGTTGATTGACAGGTCTTTTTTCCTAGTCCCAAATCATCTGTCCTTCTTCTGCCTCCCACTGGGACCAGAACAGTTATTTAGCATAGTGCCTAAGACATTTGACTGCTAACCAGAAGGCTGGTGGTTCAAATCCACCAGCCACTCCTTGGAAGGAAGATGGGGCAATCTACTTCCGTAGCAATACTGCCTCGGAAACCCAAGGAGGGATCGCTATGAGTCAGGTCCGACTTGACGGCACATAACAACAACAACAAGAAGGCTTAGTTTAAGGGACTGAGATTAAGTTGGAGGGATGGCTAGTTTGATGATGAGTTCAATGTTAGAATTGGTTACCAATTTTCAATCTACATATACAAATGTTTTAATTATACTTGTAGTAAATATATGTATTCTTTCTATGAAGTCTCAAATAACAAATAAGTATTTAGAATTAGAAAGAATTACCCCGATCATCATTCCTGCCTCTCTAACCATAGAGAACTCTTGTTGGTTTGAACTATATCCTTCTAGTCCTTTTTCTCCATATTTGGATGGAATTATTTGCTACGTGCTTTTTTTTTCAACCAAACAGTACATCCTAGAGATCTTTCCATATGGGTACAGGTGGCTCTACCTCACTGTCTCCAATTTAATAATATTAAATAATACTGATATATCCCCAGCTGGGCATTGAGGTTACTTCCAGTTCTTCACTGTTACAAGTAGTGCTGTATTGAACATACTTGTACATATTTTGTGAATTAAAGTATATATTTTATAGAAGTGGAATCAAAGGTTTCCCCTGCTATTTGAAAGTAGAGCGTTCCTGTGAAACCTTTTGTAAGCCAGAATAGCATAAAGCAAAGAAGGAATTACCATCAATTTATACAGGAAAAATTTTTATGCATTCTTAGGAAACTGCCCCCCTCCAAAAAAAAAAGGGCACTCTGGTAGCACAGTGGGCAAAGGCATTTATTTGGCTGCTAACCAGAAGGTTGGTGGTTCAAACACACTGGCTGCTCTGTGGGATGAAGAAGAGGCAATTTACTTCCCTAAAGATTTACAGCCTTGGAAGCTTAATGGGGTTACTATGAGTCAGCGTCAACTTGAAGGCAGTGGGGTTTGGTTTTTTGGTTTAGACCCAAAAAATAACCTACCTAATCATACCAAATAACACATAAAACTTAACACTAACATACAGTGTTAAGAGACACAGTTCAAAGCTATGGTAGGTAGATGCTGAGTGTAGTTCCTGGGGAAGGAACTTGGTGATGCCACCCTCACTGCCTGGGATGCATGCTGCCTCTTTCACAACTCGCTAGGAAACGAACATTGAATGCTAGTTTTGCTTTTCACCTTTTTTCATAAAAGCGAAAATCCTCTTCAGATTTCTTTCAGTTAGCAAAAACAGGTACTAACTTAAGTCTCTCTCATAAAACTGAAGTGGCATAAAGTGACCTTTGGAAAAGTTGAGATACCTGTCCCAGATCAAAGGTTATGTCCATTTTAACTTTTGAGTATACCTTTTCATAGTACCAGTTTCTCTGTAAAATGTAACTTTTATAACTGTGAGAAAAAGAATATTTGTAGTTATTTGCTTCTTTTTGAGAACAGGTTACTGTAGACTCTGACAAAAATCTCTCCATCAAGATGTACTCTGCTTTATGAGGTGGTAGAATGGGCTTTGTTTCTTTTGCTGGGAAGGACCTTGCTCTCATGTCTTTTATTAACATTAGAAGTTTTCCTGGGAACACATACTTGTGCACTCTTGCCCCTTCCTTTTTAGCAGAAATGGTGGAACAAGATCATCCAGCTTGCAGCCACAATACTGTGCACAAACTGTTCTAACCCTAAGGCAACCTATTACACCTCATTTTGCAGTTAACCATCATCCCCAGTTCTGAGCTTGGGCATTCAGCACCCAAACTATGATATCATCTTTTAAATATAACACTTCCTTGAACTTAATCCCAACTGGGAGTAGGAAGGGGATGGGAGGGGAAAAGGAGTAAGAGGTGAATGAGAGAGAAATGAGAATTTGAAAAGGCTACAGGAAGTGTGCTCTCAAAAAGGAACCACTCCATAAGAGCTCTGGTGGCCTAGTGCCTAAGGCATTTGACTGCTAACTAGAAGGCTGGCGGTTCAAACCCACCAGGAGAGGTCACTCTGAGTCGGTTCCGACTCCATGGCAGTGAGTTTGGTTTTTTGATTTGGTCCTCCACTACAAGGAGCTCTGGTGCATAGTGTCTAAGGCATTTGACTGCTAACTAGAAGGTTGGTGGTTCAAACCCACCAGCCACTCCTCGGAAGGAAGATTGGGCAATCTGCTCCCTTAGATATACCGCTTTGGAAACCCACGAAGGAGGGGTCCCTATGAGTTGAATTGGATTGACGGCAGTGAGTTTGTGTTTTTTTTTTTTTTTTTTCCTCCACTATATCCCTAAAAGGATCTTGTAGAGCAAGCAGCAGTGCTGACAGCTGTCACCAGAGACTGAGTCCATAGGCTGACCACTCATGGGAGGCCATGTCAGCTCTTCTGGTCTGTCTAGCACATCTCTCTGCATAATTACTGATCGATCCAGCGCCCCCACCTCTCTTGAGACTATGAAAATGGCAAGATGAATGACCTTTTTCATCTTCTCTCTGTCTTTGCTCCCTCGACCTGGGGACTGCCCAATTGCAGAATTTCCTTCGTTGCCAAAATAACAAGACCAACTACAATTTGGTGTGTGAGACCCTACAGTTTCTAGACTGTATTTGTGGAAGCACAACTGGAGGCCTTGGTCTTCTCGGATTGTATATAAATGAAAAGAATGTAGCACTGATCAATCAAACCCTGGAGAGTCTGACCGAGTACTGCCAAGGACCTTGCCATGAGAACCAGGTAATTCCATTTGTATTTTAGAGAGGAAAAGAATCACTTTGGAAATGTTTTTGGCAGAGACCAGTTCAGAAGTCACAGGCATTTGCCTGTCAACCTATGGAGTTAATGGGACTCGAGACCTTTTTCCAGCAGTGGAGATGCTTCAAGATTTTACCAGATAACTAGCATTGGAGGGATTATCTCTTGTATCTTTGGTTTGGTTTGAATATCCGATTCCAACTTGGCTTTTAGGGATAGATAATAAAGTGAGAGTTGATTAAGTTAGATGATTAAGTAGAACCATATACTGTGCTCTATTTTAAGTGCTAGGAGAGACTCAAAAAGTAGCTACTTCAAAGAAGGGGATTTAAACCAAGCAGGAGAGAAAAACTTGCTTCATATAAGACTGCTTAAAAGTAACATGAGCATGTATGACACCATGAAAAATGAAAGCCTGAAGGCATGGGGCAGCTTGAAAGTAGCATGAGAACATGTGTAGTTGAGATTTTAACACCATGGATGTTAAACTGACCAATTATGACTTTGACCTCTTAAGAACTATATTTTTGGGTGGAACTCAGTATTTCCTTTCTTGACTAGAATCATTGATTATCCACAGCATCTGGCAGATTTTGTAACATTTCTACACAGGTTGCCAGGATAAATATGATTTTGAACTCCAAGTGATAGCTCTGCCCCGGCTGAAGAGAGTAGGCCAAGATCTAAAATGGCCAGACCTGTGCCAATGGCCGGGAAAGGTATGAGATGCTGTGTTATGTGGGAAGACAAGCCCACTTAGGGGAGGATGGTTTACAAGAGAACTCACTGTATATTAAGAACCTGGTCTGAGTTCTCTGTGAATGTGAGATTAGCATTTAGTTACATCCACGTTCTTCTCCTTATGAGACAGATGGTGTAGTCCTAGTTAAAATGAAAAGGAACAAAAAAAATACAACAGGCTTGGGAAAGAAGGCTTTATCTAACATCTAAATGAATTTCATTATAACCTCAAGTTTGCATTTCTGTCAAACAAAGATCTGTGGACGGGAACAGAGTGGAATGGTCTCAAGTGCAAATGGGGATCTTACCTGAGGGCAGATGATTAATTTTGATATTGCGTGAATTAAACAGGAAACTTGTTTTCCAAGCTTAAGCCTTAAGCAAAAGTATGAAATGTGAAAAACTAGTGATGTAAAGAGAATGGAACACACCTTTAAAGGGGAAAACAGGGCTCAGAACCCGGTATCAGTCATACACTGTATTTTCCCTCAAGAACAAAAGCAGACTGCACTGCACTGTTTGGATTAGACACAACCAATTTATCAGTTACAATGCATGGGGACTTTCCTGCTGTTTACTGTTAATTCTGAAACTAGAGATTTTCATCTGTCTTTTATTTTTACCACTTTCTCACGGAAAATTTGCAGCTCTCCCCTAGAGACATCACCAGGAGTGGCGAGCCTTGTGTTAAAATAGCAGCTCTGCCTGTTGGCTATTGATGTCTGTTTATGACCCACACTTGTGTCAATGTCCTTTTGTGTCTGTTTGCTCAGAACTGCATAGCCACCCATGAATCCAACGGCATCGACATCATCACAGCCCTGATCCTCAATGACATCAATCCTTTGGGAAAGAAGAGGATGGACCTTGTATTAGAACTGAAGGCAAGTAGGAATTGAAAGCAAAAGACAGTAAGCATTTGGAGTCACTTCTGTGTTTTGCTTCAGCACGTGACATGGTCAATGTTGTGAAAGCAAGTATTAAAGACAATCCTTTTAACCTAAATGAATAATCCAAGTAACAAGCTCTGACTAAAATCCAGAACCTCAGAAACTTCCAAATAAGGGTCTTATGACAAGGCACCAACTTTTCAATGTTAGGTCACATAGAATGAGGACACATCACTCAAAACTGAGAATTGAGTTCACACAGCATCTAAGAACTAAGGGCATTGATTCTAAAAGCCACAGACAAAGAAACAATGGAAAGTCTATTTCCTCTATGGTATCTGATTTTCCCTCCTTTTGAGGAAAAGGAGTCAGTTGAGGAGCAGAACAGCTAAGCCTATCTAGGACCCCCCAAAAAAAAAATCTGTTTGTACCTTATCAGTTGTTGTTTTATCTATTCTGTTGCTGACTTATTGGAGTCCCCGGGAGGTGGAAATCATTAATGTGCTTTGTGCTAACTGAAAGGTTGGAGGTTTGAGTCCACTCAGAGGTGCTTTGGAAGAAAGTCCTGGCAATTCACTTCCAAAAAGTCAGTAATTAAAAATGGTGTGGAGCATAGTTCTCCTCTGACATACATGGGTTGCCAGGAGTAGGAATTGACTCAATGACAGACAGGCCTTTTACTAGTTGATATAGCAGAAGGGCATTTATTAAATGTTGGTTTATAATGAGGAAAGTTACCCTGGCCAAAAATGTGCCTACTGGCCTCTGGGGAGCTTCTTGGAATTGCATATAAATGATGGATTACAGCTGACTGATGTTGAAGCTGACATTTTTACTTTCTATAATACCAAAATAGTTTTATGGAGTAGAAGTAGTAGCTTTAACTGCTGGGTTTACAAGGTGGCCTCTTGGATATATGAGAAGCTGATATCCTATTCCTTATGTTAATTTCCTTGGTATACCAGAAAATGCTCAGCCTATTTAGAGATTCCAAAGATTCTCTAAGGATCTGAAGATTCAATTCTGAGAACTGAACTTGCAGCACATTCTGATGTCTAAAGTGCATGTTGAAAGGTTTAGCCTCACTAAGCACATTTCATTTTGAACTGTTCCCACATTGGGACATGTTGAGACTTGTTAGTCCTTTATCTCACACCCATATGCAGCCAGAAACACTTCTTCGTTGTCACAAAAACTGCAGGGTTTAGCTGGAAAGGACTATAGGGTTTATCCGAAAAGGTGGTCTGTATTATTGCATAAATGATGTCACAGGAAAGAAAAGTCATCAGGGGAAGTATTGAATAGAAGCCCACAAGAACTGGACAGTTATTTTTGTTTTTCTTTCAGTATTTAGAACTGAGAATTCAAATCAATAGTTGATTTGGGTGTATGTGGTTAATGGAATTTTATGTTGGTATTTATAACTCCTTTTGATAAGTTTTGTTTGATACTTGACATGAACATCATTCCAGCTCACATCCCTGACTACTGTTCATCACAATGTGGACTGTGGTCTGAGATAAACTGAGAATTTCATGTGCTCCTACTCAGCACTTCAGTGATTCTCTTAGCTATGTTTGCCTTATGGATTTCCATAGACATATCTTTCCTAGGAAAAGGCTATTTAATAGTATAGCAACCTGACTGAACTGCCATAACCTATGCTTAGGAGAAAGAAGAGTACCCACCCACCCCCAAGACAATAATAACAATTTTCAAGTCCTGCAGGTAAAGGAATGAGAGCCCTGGTGGCACAATGGATAAAGCACTTGGCTGCTAACCAAGAAGTTGTGGTTCAAACCCACCAGTTTCTCCTTAGGAGAAGCATGTGGTAGTCTACCTCTATAAAGATTTGTTGTTAGTAGGTGCTGTCTAGTCAGTCTGACTCACAGCAACCCTATGTACAACAGAATGAAACACTCCCTGGTCCCATACTATCCTCACAATCATTGCCATGCTTGAGCCCATCAACATAGCCACCGTGTCAATCCATCTCATTGAGGATCTTCCCCTTTCTCACTGACCCTCTACTTTACCAAGTACCATATCCTTCTCCAGAGACTGGTCTCTTCTAATAACATGACCAAAGTATGTGAGTTGAAGTCTGGCCATTCTCATGTCTAAGGAGCATTCCAGCTGTACTTCTTCCAAGATGGATTGGCTTGTCTTCTGGTCACCAAAAAACCAAACTCACTGCCATTGAGTTGATTCCAACTCACAGCAACCCCCTTTGGGTTTCTGAGGTGTTAAATCTTTACAGAAGTAGATTTCCCACTCTTCTTCCATGAAATGGCTGGTATTTTCAGTATTCTTTGCCAACAACACAATTCAAATACAATGATTCTTCTTCAGTCTTCCTTATTCATTGTCCAGCTTTCACATGCATACAAGGCAATTGAAATAGCATGGCTTGGGTCAGGTGCACCTTAGTCTTCAGAGTAACATATTTCTCTTCAGTACTTTAAAGAGGTCTTCTGCTGCAGATTTGTCAACTGCAATACATCCTTTCATTTCTTGACTGCTGCTTCCATGAGCATTGGCTGTGGATCCAAGTAAAATGAAATCTCTCATAACTTTAATCTTTTCTTTGTATATCACAATGCTGCTTTTGGTCCAGTTGTGAGGATTTTTGTTTTCTTTATGCTGAGGTGTAATCCATACTGAAGACTGTGTGGCTCTTGGTCTTTATTAGTAAGTGCTTCAAGTCTTCTTCACTTTTAGCAAGCATCTTGCAGGTGGTTAATGAGTCTTCTTCCAATCCTAATGGCACATTCTTCATATTGTCCAGCTTCTCAGATTATTTGCTCAGCATATGCATTAAATAAGTATGGTGAAAGGTGAAACACACTTTTCCTGATTTTAAACCATGCAGTATCCCCTGTTTGAACATCTGGCCCTTGGTCTATGTACAGATTCCTTATGAGCACAATTAACCAAATCAAACTCACTGCCATCGTCTGGAATTCCCCTTCTTCACAATGTTAGCCATAATTTGTTATCATCCACACAGTTGAATGACTTTGTGTAGTCAGTAAAACAAGTAAACATCTCTCTGGTATTATTTGCTTTCAGCCAAGATCCATCTTACATTAGCAATGATCTTCTTTGTTCCATGTCCTCTTCTGAATCCAAGTTGAATTTCTGGTGGTTCCCTGTCAATATACTGCTGCAGCCCTTTTTAGTTATCTTCAGCAAAATTTTACTTGTGTGTGATGTTAATGGTATTGTTTGATAATGTCAGCATTCTGTTGGATCACCTTTCTTTGGGATGGACACAAATATAGATCACTTCATGTCCATTGGCCAGGTAGCTGTCTTCCAAATTTCTTGACATAAACAGGCGAGTACTTCCAGCGCTGCATTAGTTGTTGAAACATCTCAATGGGTATTTCATCATTCCTGGAGCCTTGTTTTTCTCCAATTCTTTCAGTATAGCTTGAACTTCTTCCTTTTATACCTTTGGTTCTTGATCATATGCTACCTCCTGAAATGGTTTAGCACCAACCAGTTCTTTTTGGTACAGTGACTCTGTATTCCTTCCATCTTTGATGCTTCCTGCATCGTTCATTTGCCCTTAGAAGCCTTCAGTATTGCAACTCCAAGCTTGAATTTTTTTTCTTCCCTTCTTTCAGCTTAAGAAATGCCAGGTATGTTCTTCCCTTTTGGTTTTCTAATTCCAGGTCTTGCTACCTTCCATTGTAATACTGGGTACTTTGTCTTCTCCAGCAGCCTTTTGAAATCTTCTGTTCAGCTCTTTTATTTCATCATTTCTTTCATTTGCTTCAGCTTCTCTCTATTCAAGAGTAAGTTTCAGAGTGTTTTCTGACATCCATTTTGCTTTTTCTTCCTTTCCTGTCTTTTTAATGAACTTTTGCTTTCTTCATGTATCATGTTCTTGATATTATCCCACAACTCATCTGATCTTCGGTTATCGGTGTTGAATGCATCAAATCTACTCTTCAGATGGCCTCTAAATTCAGGTGGGATGTACTCAAGGTCATATTTTGGTTCTCATGGACTTGTTCTAATTTTTTTCAGCTTCAGCTTGAACTTGAATATGAGCAGTTGACAGTTTGTTCCATAGTCAGCCCCTGACTTCTTCTTACTGATGAACTTGAGCTTCTCCATCACCTCTTTCTGCAGATGGAGTCTACTTGATTCCCGTGTATTCCAACTAGTGAGCTTCACATGTATAGTCACTATTTATATTGTTGCAAAAAGGTATTTGCAGTGAATAAGTCATTGGCCTAGCAAAATTCTGTCATGCAGTCTCTAGGGTCATTTCTTACTCCAAGGCATTATTTTCCAACTTCTGATACTTTGTTTCCAACTTTCCCATTCCAATCACCAGTAATTATAAATACATCTTGATCTCATGTTTAGTCAACTTCAGACTGCAGAAGTTAGTAAAAATCTTCAATTTCTTCATCTTGGCCTTAGTGGTTGGTACATAAATTTGAATAATAGTCATATTAACTGGTCTTCCTTGTAGGCATGTGGATATTATCCTATCACAGCATTGTAGGTTGGAGCTTGAAATGTTCTTTTTGATGATGACTGCTATGCCATGCCTTTTCAGTAATTTATTATTCCCAGCATAGTAGACCATATGATTGTCAGAATCAAATGGCCAATTCCAGTCCATTTCAGCTCACTAAAGCATGGGATATCAAACTTTATGCATTCCATTTAATTTTTGACAACTTCCAATTCCCAAATTTCAAACTTCAGACATTCCATGTTCCTGTTATTAAGATGTTTGCAACTGTTTCTTCCTATTTTGAGTCATGACACATCAGCAAATGAAGGTCCTGAAACTTCCCTCCATGTATATAATTAAAGTCAACTCTACTTTGAGAACACAGCTCTTCCCCACTTATTCTGAGTGCCTTTCAACTGAGGGGTTCATCTTCTAGCACTGTATCAGTCAGTGTTATACTGTTATTCATAGTTTTCCAGTATTATATCAGAGAGTGTTTCACTGCTATTCATAAGGTTTTCAGTGGCCAGTTTTTTCAGAATTAGTCCACCACTTCCCTCTTCCTAATCTGTCCAAATCTGGAAGCTCCACTGAAACCCATCCACTATGAGTGACCCTGCTGGCATTCGAAATACTGGTGGCATAGCTTCTAGCATCACAGCAACAAGCAAGCCAGCACAGTAAAACAAACTAATAGATGAGTAGTGGTCCTTGGCAATCTTATGAGGCAGTTCTGTCCTGTCTTGTAGGGTCCTTATGAGTTGGGATCAACTCAACAACAGTGGTATTGGGTTACAAATGAGCATGCAAATTGTCATAGGCACAGAACCTAAAATGAGGTCAAACCAAAAAAAAAAAAAGTAGGGTGTGGGCACATGAAAATGTTGAACATAAGTAGAAATTAGGCCCGGCATGCATACAGTACTCTTTGGGATCACTTTTGTTAATTGGTATCAGCCATACCCTCATTGTAATATTGGGGTTTATAAGGGCTAATAGAAATATTTTAAGATGGAAAGGAATGATCTCAATTGCCTGCTTTCTCTGGTCTACAAGGGTGGTCACCAGTGTTTGACCAGCACACCCACCCTATAGGCACCATGGGTCTGTATAACAGGTTCTTCCTGACCACTATCATGTCAAAGGTGACAACATACCACAAATGCTCATGTATAAAATTCCTTTTCCTGGCTCAGATCTCTACCAGGTAACTTTAGGGAGAGACTATGCTGAAACAAACGTGTGCCTCTTTGACCCAACTCAGAGTCCCTGGGTGGTATAAATGGTTAATGTGCTGGCTGCTAACTGAAAGGTTGGCAGTTCGAGTCCACCAGGGATACTTTGACCGAGAGACCCAGTGACCTTCTTCCAAAAAGCCAGCCATTAAAAATGCTATGGAACACAGTTCTACTCTGACACTCGTGGGGTCACAATGAGTCAGAATTGACTTGACTGCAACTGGCTTTTTGACCCACCTCAGATTTTACATACGTGTTTCTGGGATCTGAACTAGCATGTTGTCTGTCTGGTGAAGATGGCTTTGGAGGTCCTTGCCTGTGGCTCTCCAATGGGGTGAAGTGTCTATGTGTTCAACCAGGAGGCAGTACTGATGTAAATTAGGCTCATGGCTTGTTGGTCACCCCAAGTAGCTACTCTACATTCCTCCTCTTTTTGTTCCTCTATTTAGAACAATGCTTCAAAGTTGCTTCTGGCCATCATGGAGAGTAGGCACGACAGTGAGAATGCAGAGAGGATCCTTTATAACATGAGGCCAAAGGAACTGGTGAGTTGAAGAACTGTGATCCCCAGATGGTGGTGTCAGTACCATTGGAGTAATATTCGCACCAGAGCAGAAAATCCACATCCCTGAGAGCTTTCTTAAAGATTCCAAAAATCAGAAGTATAATGAGAACATTTAATTTGGGCCTCTAACAAGGGTAGAGATGTGAGTAATACATTGAATGGTGGTCTTCTGCCCTCTCCCTGCAGCATAAGCCACCTGGGGAAGCTTTTCCCTTTCTCCTTGTGAGGGGACAGTGTGTACAGACGGTGGTCAAGGTCAAAGACCTAGGAGCCCAACCAAACTGAGTTCAAGTCCATAGCACTGCCTATTTTAGCTTTGCCCCCTTGGGCAATCACTTGAACTCCTGAAGCTGCACTTTCCTTATCCATAAAAGGAGAATAATAATATCACCTAGCCAAGCGAGTTGTTTTGAAGACTAGAGGAGAAAATTCATGTCAAGCCCTTAGCAACATTGCTAGCACATGATAAAACCCTTAGAGAACTGAAGTGCCTTTTCTTTTTCCTGTTTCCTTGCTGGTCTTTAGGCCCCCACATCTAGTGCTAAAGAATTCAGATTTCATCTTGATGCCAATAATCTGAGCAACAGAAGAGAGGGGCATTTGGGTGCTGGTGATTTTTATTTTTAAATAAAGCATGATCTTGCTTATTTTTGAGGGGTGATATTCACAATTGACTGTTATTTCCAGGTAGGGAGTTAGTGCTGCAAACTGTGAGATAAGCAGCTATCAGAGACAGTGAAATGAGTTGAAGAGAGACTCTATTTGGATTTTTTCCCATGCAAATAAATGGTAACTGACAGACATAAATGAGGGCATTAAAACCTTTCTGTCTCCCTGTGACCTAAATGTTCACTTGGGGCCAGGCTAAAGTCCCATTATTTATCCCTTTAAATAAAGTGAGCCGCAAGCCCAAGTCTTTCATTTCTGAGGTCAATGTACGTTGGAAGTCCTCGCCAAGTTTACATAATAGCTTATGTAACTGGGGGCAGGGGTAGAAGGGGTTAGGATTTGTCACTATTGAGCAGGGATGCAGTGACTTCATGGGGACACCATTTGGGTTCTCACGAATCAAGAACATGCCCCCCGTCTTGGGTGAGGGGATGTCAACACCCAGTGCTGTGGTTGCCACTGGTTATGAGGTTGCCCCCTTGTGGTTGCAGAACATCGTTCCTGGTTCGTGGCCTAGAGTCAAAGGCTTCCTGGAGCAAACACCATTTTTAAGAATCCAAACAGTGGGGAAGCTCTAGTATCCAGAACACAAGTATACATGTGTGTGGATGTGTGTATTCTGGCCACACCTTTAGTGCAGCTTGTCTGTGCAATTTGTTATTAGAAGTGACAGGATAAAAGCTCAGAATGAGGATCTTGTCATCCAGGTTATTCCAGGGCCTGACACTGCGACCACATAGAAACATTTGACCACTTGTGATGGCAACTGGTAGTGGTGAGAATTATGTTGAGGCAGCATGGAATGCCAAAATGCCTTTTGACTCATCAAAGAAAACTTACTAAATTTTAGTATAACTTTGGGGTGGATAATATTTTGTTCTTTATTTCTGAATGATGAAATCTTTAATTTGCTAACTATTGACTGAGCCCCTACCTTGTCTTGGGCATTGTTCTGGGCACTAGAGAGGGATGCAGAAATGAGCAGGGAGTGGGGATAAATAGGAGCACTAGGACAGATACAGCAATGCTCTAAGAATGAGACAAGCCATGTATGCAGGTCCTCAGGGAGCAGAGTCATGCAGCTGTGAGGGGTAGCAGGGCAGAGCTGAGATCCAAGCCACATGACTAGGAATGTCCAGTTCCCTCTCTGACTCTGCTTCCTTATCCACAAAAAATGGGTCTAGTAATACTCATCAAATACTCATTAGCAGAAAATTTTTAAAAAAGGATATTAAAAGACTAAGTACAATACTCAACGTATAAAGTGCTTGGTAGATGTTATTTGTTAGTGGTGGTGTTTTCCTCCTGGAATGAGCTTTGGAAGACAGGGGTAAATTTGGAATCAGAGAAATAGTGCCACCAGCTATTCCTAAAAACTAAGGAATTTCTTATTAGTTTTTCCTAAAATGGCAACAGTTGGAGATGGGGAGAGCTGGTGGGAAGAAATGTAAGAGGGAGGATAAGTGTGGCTTCCAGCCTACATTTCTGTCACATTTTATGGTTTTTTTTTTTTTTTTTAATAGTTTCAAGGTGCTTTTATATCCATTGTCCCCTTTTAAAGTAGAAGGGTATGAACCAGCTGCAGAGTGGCTCCTGATCTAGGTAGAGTGAATGAGTTTTATTTCTCATGTCAGTGGAGGATGATTGGTAGTGTCTACCTGTAATAGTGTTGAGAAGGCTTCTGAGGCTAGATCCAACCTTGATGAGCAAATGTCTGTGTCAGGATGGGGGAGATTGATGGTGGGTGTGTACCAGTCCTGTTTAGGTGTTCCTTGAAACAGGAGTTTTGTTCACTTGGCCCTTCATGCAGGTGGAAGTGATCAAGAAGGCCTACATGCAAGGTGAAGTGGAATTTGAAGATGGGGAAAATGGCGAGGATGGAGCTGCCTCCCCCCGGAACGTGGGGCACAACATCTACATATTAGCTCATCAGGTATGACTCCTCCTTTACCTGCCCAAACATCCCTTACTTACAGTGCCCCTTATCCAAACTGGATGTGCCACTAAGATTAGTTTTCTTTTAAGGTTTTAACCTAGTGCTGTTTGCATTCATGACAACTTGGCTCACAGGTGCCTTTGGCCACCCAATATACAGTTCCAGAAGTTTTCCATTTTGCCACTGTGGTAGAGCCATGTACTTGGAAATCCCCATATTTCCTTAAAAAACCCAACACTGCTTGGGACCATAGTCACAGGGGACATAAAGCTCAATTGGCATTACATACTACACAAAACATTGTTCCACCTTCTACTTTGGTGAGTAGTGACTGGGATCTTAAAAGCTTGCAAGCAGCCATCTAGATGCAATGATGGGTCTCTCCTTATCCAGAGCAAACAAGAATGAAGAAAACCAAAGATTCATGGAAATAATTAGTCCTAGTGACTGGTACACCATGCAATCCACAGCCTATATGACTATGAGACCAGAACTAGATGGTGCCAGGCTACCACTGTCAACCACTTGGAGGAGGATCTGTGTAGGAGATCCTGGGTAGAGAGGGAGAACAATGTGGAACAAAACTCAAAATCATTTGGGAAAAAAAAAGGAGACCAGGTTTGCTGGTCTCATAGAGCCTTGTGGAACCCCTGAGACTATGGCCTCTAGCTGCCCTTCAGGTCTGGAATTGAACCTACACCTGTGGCTTCCAACCAAACAAAAGGCAGGCATATGAGCTGAACACTTACATTAGGTAGATACACTCCCTAGAGAAATAATCATGGGAGAATAGAAGGGTTGTTTATGCACAGGGAGACAGCTCAGGGGCCAGGAGTGCATGGAAGGATGGACACAGGGAAGAGGTAACTATCGGGAGGAAGTGGGAGGGGAGCTTTACCACTTTACCACTTGTGGTAAATTGTAGTCAATGTTATGAGACAAAGTGTATGGGAACTGTTGTATGGAAAGTAAATTTGCTCTATAAATTTTCACCCAAATCACAATTAAAAAAAAAAAACACACCACTGCGTTGTTATGTTGTTGTTATGTGCCATCGAGTCAGCCCTGACTCATAGCGACCCCTCCTTGGGTTTCCGAGGCAGTATCACTACGGAAGTAGGATTGCCCAACCTTCCTTCTGAGGAGTGGCTGATGGGTTTGAACCGCCAGCCATCTGGTGAGCAGTCAAGTGCCTTAGCCACTATGCTACCAGAGCTCCCACACCACTGCGTAGTGACACTTAAATAATAGTTTATGGGTTTGTCTGGAGACAGTTGAAAAGCATCTTGGGCTTTTCATAAATATTGATGAGTTATCTTAATAATCTAAAGAAACTGCAGCTTAATAATCTAAAGATTGCAGCTTCCTTGCAGTCACATTTGGAAATCATGGGAACTTGTTATTATGACTTCTTTTTGTTTTTCTTTTGGGGGATATACTTTATGCCCTGGCACCAAAATGCCATGTTTCATAATTCTCTTCCCAAGTGACTGGGCTTTTGAAGATACTTCCTCTTTCTGGGTATTGATGCGCCTTATGAATTTGTCTGATGTGTGTGGATAGGCTGTAACTCCACTGGAGGCTTGCTTTTCCTGTCCCTTCTACCTCTTTTTTAAAGAATTTTTTAAAAAGTGTTTTCCACCTCTTTTAAAGTCAGTTATGGGAACTAGACATAAACTCTGATGATAGTGGCCCTGGAGACCCTGGGGGATGCAAAGATTCATCTGCTCTGCTGCTGACCACAAAGGACACCTCAGAAGAAAGGCCTGGTGATCTATTGCCAAGAAATCAGCCATTGAAAACCCCATGGAGTACATGGGGTTGCCATGAGTTGTAGTCACCTCAACAACTGGACTTTTTAGGGGTAGAGAGTATTGGCCCTGAGGTTAACAGTTCCTTATTATGGCATAATGGCTGAAGAATATAAAAGTCTTCTGCCCTTCCATTCCCTGCTTAGAGCATTTCTGAACACTCATAATGGAGGCTCCACAGAAAACCCCATTGCCCTCCGGTCTGGCTAAAGAAATCAGGGACAAGCAGGACCTGGTGTGGCATGAGCTTTCCATACTGTCCTGCCAAGCTCCCAAAATAGCTGCTGTCCAAAGCACACCTTGATCAAGTATAGCGGCCTCCTGCCACTGGTGCTCTTTCACTTGCCACTCTGCCGGCTATTCTGTATACATTTATTATTATTATTTTTTAATCGCCCAAGTTAGAAAAGAGCTGTGTGTCCCCTCTGCTGGCTACTGTGTATTTTTTATACTCAAAGTTGAAAAGGAGCTGCATGTTCCTGTTGCAAACAGTCAGCGACTCCTTGTTTTCTGTTCTTGGGTTCTAGTTGGCTCGGCATAACAAAGAACTCCAGACCATGCTGAAGCCTGGTGGTCAGGTGGACGGAGACGAAGCTCTGGAATTTTATGCCAAGCACACGGCACAGATAGAGGTAAAAGCACAGGAAGTGGGTGGGTAGCAGAGTTGTTACTTTGGGACGTGACTGGGGCTGGCATGCCTCCATTCCTCAGACCAATAAAAGAGTTGTGAACACCTAAACCAGATTCTGTGCTGGGTGCTGACTATCGAGTGATGGCCAAGATAGTGGTGATTACTGCTTAGGGCCCAGTGCAGAGGCTGACATTGAACAAAGCCACGTCCATTATGAATTCTGATAAGTTCATGCAGGACAAGTAGATGGGTTATAAGAAAGTCCAGCAGAGAGACCTGCTTTGGATTGTAGTGCTCAGAAAACCCTGGTCTGAAGAAATGACATGTAAGCATAGACCTTAAGGAAAACTAAGTGTCTGGTAGGCAAAGTCTAGTAGGACAGGTTTTTCAGACATGGAGAATGATGCAAGTGACAATCCCAAGAGGGGATAACGCTGGCTGGGGTTGAAGAGTTAAAGACAAGACCTATGTGGCAAGAGTTTAATGAGCAAGAAGGAGAGCAGCAAAGATTAGGAAGGAAACATGGGTAGACTCAGACCTTGCAGAATCTTGAAAACTGTCATAAGAATTCTAGGCTTTGCCCAGTGACAATGGGGAACTTGTCAAGGAGTTTTATATGGGGGAATTACATGCCTTTAAAAAAATAACAATAAAATCGCCAATCCTCAGTGAAGTTGGTGGTATCATTGCCACTCTGCAGATGAGGATATTCAGGACAAGGCTTGGAAAGGTTGTATCACATGCTCATGTTGTCAGTGGCAGAGCAGGAATTTTGATCAGCCCATGGGTCCATTTTACATCACCAGTATTGTCTCTTAGTATCCAAGAGAGCCCAGACTTCTCTCTCCAGGTTTTCAGCAGCAAAGCTCCTTGTTTTACTAATAAGGAAATACACAAGTTCAGTATTAGCATTGGAACAAAGGTTTTGAAGGACTAACAGACTCCTTTAGGCAATATAAAAAGCTCAGGTTGGATGCTTTTCAAGAATATTTTCTTACCTACACCTCAACTCTCTGGGCCATCCTAATAAAATGGGTCATTTCACTGATTAGTCAACCATGCTAGTGTATGTGAGCAAATATTCTTGATTTATTTTTAATGACCAGAAGCTTAACAGAAGGGCCAGCTATGTCCTCTGGAGCCCTTTAAAGACAAGCCTTAGATGTTTGTGGTAGAGAATGTCAGAGGAGAATGGAACCTTGGAAATGACTTTATTAAACTTCTTGGTTCACTGGGGAGAAGACTGAAGCTTGAACAGGTTAAGAGATATGAGCAAGGTCATCCAACCAGCTAGAGCAGGAGAAGGACCGGAATATGATCTCCTGATTCCCAGCTTACATGTAATGAAAAAGAAGTACAGATAGATCTTAAGTGAGAGAGAGAAATGGCTGGAGCATAGTGTCCCTAGCTAACAAATCCTGCCCTTGGCCAGCCACCCATCTCTTAAGGTACCCAGAAAAAGCTTTCTTGTTACTGAGGTTTTCCATGCAGACTCTAGTGTCTTTACTCCTGTGAGTTAGGCTAGATAGCCCTGGGGTCTAGAACTCAGGCTTGCCAGAAGACCTCATCTCTTCCTTTCCCTTCTGAGCCCATACCCACATCTCAGATTGTATTCCTTCAATATGAGGAAGGATGCAAAGCAGGCAGGCTTTTTCTTGGTAGCAGGAGAGTGGAGAGGTGGTCCCCAAGTGTATGTGTACCTCAGAATCACCTGGGTCTGATTCATGTGCAGATTCTGGCCACCAACCTCACACAACACAACTCCAGTTAAGTGAGGTTAGGTTATGGGCCAGAATCAGTATTGTAATTATACCTCCTGTAACCTGGTCTTCATCTAGATTTGGGAATCACTGGTCTAAAGACCACATTCCTCAGAAATTCTGGTGCCAGGTCTGTGGGAACCTGTCTTACCTCTGCAAGAGACTCCCTCTACAACTTGACCTGACTTACCTTTTTTACTATGTCAGTGAACACAAGTATTGAGAGAGCAGGAACCAGCTCTTCTTGTAGAAGGCATTGTCCCTGGGCCTCACCTGGCTTCTCCAGCCCCTGGGGAGGAAGAAGAAAAGCAGGCCATGCCCCTATTATACTACAACCTCAGCCCTTTTAAAATCTTTACCCTCCAGGATTGGGACTCAATACAGCATCCTAGAATTTGAACATTCCAGATGAGACTACCTCCTTATTGGGGAATAAGACAACCTAGGAAAGGCATGATGAAACCCTATGAGGTATCCTTCCCCAAGGCCTAACAAAGCTAGTTTAAAGAACAGTGCCATGCGATTGTTAAGTGGGCATATTAGTTCATGTATCTTATATTTTAGATGCTGTGACAAAAGGTTGAAGGTTATGGCAACTGGATAAGCCAAAGTTCTCATTATAAAGTTCTTATCTAGGAAAAATAATCCGTTCTCAATCTGAAAAGAGATCTTCCATGAGGTTTGTACCACGGTTCAATATGGTAGCCACTAGCCATGTGTGACTATTTAAGTTAATTAAATAAATGTTCAGTTTATTAGTCACACTAACTAGCCACATGACAGTGATCAGTAGTCATGTAAGTCTACCATATCAGGCAGCTCAGACACAGAACAATGGACAGCTGTAGCCTGGAGTTTCATCTGAGTAATGGCACAAGAATACAATTTAAATTGCTCCAGGTAAAAATTAGTCGCATTGGAATGAATGGATTTGAGGTTAGAAAAATACTTTTACAGACTTAACAAAACCATTTTTTATATAAATCTGACAGCTCAGTGTGGGGTTATAAAATCAGAGAAGACTCAGGAGCAGGTCTGTATTATACTTGATCTTAAATACTGAGTCCATGGCCAAAAGCCAAGTAGTTCTTGTAAAAGTTTTTTGAAGATGGTTGTTGAATCACATCCATTTTTTCACCTCAGATCGTCAGATTAGACCGAACGATGGAGCAGATTGTCTTCCCAGTTCCCAGCATATGTGAATTCCTAACCAAAGAGTCAAAGCTACGAATATACTACACTACAGAGAGGGACGAGCAGGGCAGCAAAATCAATGATTTCTTCCTGCGGTCTGAAGACCTCTTTAATGAAATGAACTGGCAAAAGAAACTGAGAGGTGGGTCAGTGACGTGTGAACTGTGCTGTGGACAGGAGATGTTAAAGACGATTTTTTCTGGGGTTCCACAGCATTAAGCCTAGGCTTGGTGGTGCATTCATCTCCAAGCAGGAGCAAGGCTGGTTAATTTATACTTTCCACATCTGACCATCAGAAAGCTGACGGGACTTTGGTGGTTTTTCAGTGGGCTGCAGTCCGAGGGTGGCAACTCCCTTGAAAAGGTTCCTTCATGCAGCATTTGACTTGACTGGATTGTATTGGACAAAAGGAGCAGAGGAGTGGGGAGGCCAGGCCCTTGAACTCACAGGATGATGCACTTGAGCAAGAAACTCAGATGGCTTGATTGCTCATTTACTAGCACACCTGCTTGGGAGACTCTGGCATTTCCCCTTTTACAGTGTATATTGGTTTTTAGACTCCAGTACCATTTTATACTTGACGGCACACAACAACAACAACAACAACAACCATTTTATAGGTGGTGGACTCATTTGCCACATAAGTTGTGCTGTGGCCCACCAGCAAGTCCCATTGAGAAGCCCAGCCAGTTGGAGTGAAATTACTTGTCTAAAACATTTTTATTGGGCTTCCTCACAGAGCTTCTCAGCTCCTGGTTTTCATTATTGTTTTAATAGGATCCTTCGGTCCGGACAGTATGCTTGGCACCAGCTGTTGTGACCAACTTAAAAAGGATCACGCTTTCTTTCTATCTGTTAGTCAGGAGTCAGGTTTTTATTTGAAACCTTGGATTCCAGCTACAGTTATGATCTTCCCAGCTCTTTCTGTAGGATGGGGCTGGAGAAGGGGAAAGCTGGGTTGGATGTCTGTTTCTAGGAGTTTCTGCATTCTCCCTAATCCTACCAATTTAAGCAAGAACAGATTAGCCTCTTTTGTGGTGAGTTTCTTCTACTTTAAGGGGCTCTGGTGGCACAGTGGTTAAAGCGTTCAGCTGCTAACCAAAAGGTTGCAGTTTGAACCCACCAGCTGCTCTGTGGGAGAAAGATGTGGTAGTCTGCTTCTGTAAAGATTAAGATAGGAAACCCGAAGGAGCAGTTCTACTCTGATTAGTCATGATATGTTAGAATTTACTCGATGGCAATGAGTTGGTGAGTTTCTTCTACTTTACTTCTCCCATCTTCTTGTAGCCCTTGATTCAGCTCATGGCAGAGAGGGTGGTGCAGTCAGATTTGCAAGGAGTCTTGTTCCCATCCCACCCAGTCACACTTCATTCTCTCTTGTCTCTAACACATTCATCTCTAAAACTCCTCTTTAAAACAGCACTTTATAACTTTACATAATATTTTGCTGGACCAGACCCATTCCTCACTTGGTTCCATGTTTGGCACCTGACTGAGGAGCCAGGGGCCTTTAGCAGGACACATGCATGTCCTTGTATGGACCCCAGAAGACTTAGGGTATGATTCTACCTCACATCAGATGTCTTCATAAACTACTTTGGGTTTCATCTAAGAGACTCTCAGTTTAAGCATCATGAATGTTAAACACAAAACGGTGCTAGAGCAATAAGAGAAAAAGGATATTAAAAAAAAAAGTAGATGTAGACCTCACCCATTTTGTACTCTTATATTTCCAGCTATTCCATAAAATAGAAAAGAACTTCCTTTTATTTGTTGCTTTCAACTTAATTCCAGTTTTGGGGAATAATCCTGAATTCACATGTCTCAAATGTCATAATAGTTATTAATACTGTAATTTTACCCTTTCCAATATATAGGTCTAGTAAAATTGGCCAGACATATTTATTCTCTAGGGATTGCCAAATATGTATCTTCCTTCTTTCTGGAATGTTACAGGAGACCTCAGACCCAAGAGCTGGGTCTTCTACCCACTGGCTCTATGGCCTTGGGCAAATAACTTAACTACTCCTAGCCCCTCACATATAAGATGGGAATCAAGATAACCTGATTGATTGCTTGCTTCTGGTATGGCCATCTAATTAATCCAAGATTTATATTGGATGGTAGCTAATACCTTCTCATAGTTTTGTCTGTCTATCTATCTATCTATCTATCTATCTATCTATCTATATCTATATATATATATATCTATATA